TCCCTGTCTCTTTCTCTATCCCTCTGGAGAACACCAGTGCCTCGTTCAGGCAAAAACCTGAAAAAAAAAAGGAGCTATTTGAGCATTTAGTGGAACTGGAATGGCATACGTGCATTGGATTGTAGGGACAGGAGTGAGAGTCCTGGTTTATAGACAATGCACATTAAGGCATTTGAGGACGGTTCGACAGGTCAGCAACTTAATTTTAAATGCTCCAGAAACGAAATTAGTCTCTATTATACTGATACCTTTTTTAAAAAGAATTATTTTATTTTAACTTTATTTATTTGTTTTTAACTTGATCAGAGAGAGACAGAGCAGTCAAGTGAGAAACCAAGCTGCCGTGTACGTACGGGACTCGAACCGTGGTCGGCCATGTGGGAGTCTAGGGTTCTTAACCGCCATGCCACCTACCGACCCCCAATATATTGATAACTTTTTAATTAATTTATTTTTAAAAAATTTTTTGCTATGGGGCATGTGCACTCTCCAGAGAGAGACAGAGACAGAGAGAGAGGGGAAGTGAGATAATACCTGCTAGGAGGGATGGCCATGCCACAATCCCTTCTCCTCCGTTCTCCTGGGATTTTAGGCACACATGCACAAAAGCCCAGCATGAGTTTTAAGCCACTGGGTCAGAGACTAGAACTGTGACTGGCCAGGTGGGAGTCCCGCGCCTTACCCACTATGCCACCTTCTGGCCCCATGGATAGCTTTTTTCCCACGTATGCAATTGTTTCAAAATAAATGTACATATTCCCGTACCTCCCCTTCAAAAAAATCAAGCAAATTAACAAACAAAAACCAAGTACATATTCCTGTACCTCCCTTCCAAAAAATCAAGCAAATTAACAAACAAAAACCAAAAACATATTGGGCCGGTAGGTGACATGGTAGTTAAGGGTGCTGGACACTCCCATGGCCAACCATGGTTTGAGTCCTGGACCTGGCGGCTTTCTTTCACTTTGGCCCTCTCTCTTGCTCTGTCCCTCTCTGGTCAAATTAAATAAATAAATAAATAATTTTAAAAATGGTTAAGATGGAGAATTTTACATGTGCATTTCACCACAATTAGAACAAACCAACAAGCGTCTGTACTTTTTTCTCATTTATGAATCAAGCCTTGAGGCGGTGGTTCTCAATTGGGTGGGGATTCTACTGACAGTCAGTGACTAGGGGTCAGGGACCCCCCCTCTGCAGCCTACAAAGCACAAGAAGGGTATCAGTGGTCCCAACATCAACAGGGCAGAGGGTGAGAAATCCAAGTTTAGTGGCACCTCCTCCTGGAAGCCCATCTGGATTTGCCACACTTAATGCCCCCTCCATATACACATACACTCTTCTTTTCTCCCCTGGTAACTCCAGATGTTGAAGCACTGGGGGTGTGATTGATGGGGTTGGGGTGGGGTGTGCAGAGCACGAAGTCCCTGTCCCAGGGGCTGAGGTCCTATTAGTGCTGTGATGTGGCTTCATCCTGCATGGGGCACTGGTGAGGAGTGGGGCTCGGAGGAGTGGAGCTGGGGGTACAGTCGGGGGTGGGGCCCAGCTGGGGATCACTTAGGGTTGTGGTTGCCAGGTTCCTGGGCCGCCCTGCTGAGTCCGGATCCAGGACGGGGCGGAAATCCGGGCCGGACCCAGCTCGAAGATCTCCAACTTGAAAGAAGAACCGACACCCGCAGCCTGGCCACATCCGCACGGCTTCCTGTTTTTGCTCCAAACTGAGCAAAGGATGCGGTAGATACGCAGAGGCGCAGGGTGGGGGCGGTCACGCGACTTGGCCACCCGCCCGAAGCCTCCTCTGGTCTGAGTGGGGTCTTGGTAGGGACCCAGCTGGTGGGGGCCGGGCAGCCTGGAGTGGACCCAGCTGGGCGCCTGGGCCCGCAGGACTCTCCGAAGCTCAGAAACACCCCAGGCGGTACCGGCCCGTGGGTCAGGACCTCTGTTCTCGGGGCCCCAGCATGGCAGGCCGGACTCTGTATGCAAGCTTCCTCCTCCTTCCTGTGTCCCCGTTGCTGGGACAATCTGAAGGTCCCCGACCTGGCCCCCATGACAGCCCCCCAGGGCCTATCGTTCCCCGGCCTCCTGCTGGCCTCTGTCCACCCAGTACCTCCTCCGAAGCTCCCTCTCTTCCCTCCCTCAAGGCAGCTCGGTCCCTGCTGGTAGGGGACATTCCTCTGGGCTTCTCCCCACCACACTGGGGACAGATGTCCAGCCCTCTGAATGGCTCAGCCCAGCCTGGTCCTGGCTGGGAACTGGGACAAGGGTCATAGGTGTTGTCTTTGGGCCAAAAGGGGCGGGACGTGGCCTATCTGGGAGTAAGGGTTTGGGAAAGGGGCCTTCTTCAGCTCAGAGCGGGCAGGGGGTAGAGGGTCAGGGGATACATTTCCAGGAAGAGCAAGAGCGGGGCAGGGGTGAAGTGGAGAGGGGTCCGTGCAAACAGGAGGCGAGGTGGTATAGTGGTTAGGGCTGTAGATGCCCGACCCACACTGCTGCCTGGATTCAAGTTCTGGTCGTGCCGTGTCTAAGCTGTGTGACCGTGGACAAGTCACTTCCCCTCTCTGGGCCTCACATCCCTCGTCCACAAGGTGGCATGGACAAAGCATCTAGGAACATCCCAGGGTGGTTGTGAAAATGAAGTGTGTCCATGCACCGCGACACTAAGAAATGGCCTCGCATTCGTTGTTATTAAACTACACAGGGGCCGGCAGGTGGCGTGGTGGTTAAGGTGCTGGACGCCAATGGTCAACCATGGTTCGAGTCCCGGACCTGGTGGCTTACTTTCTGACTTTCCGTCTCTCTCTCTCTCTCTGGTCAAATTAAAAAATAAATGCACGAATAAATAAAATAAAATAAAAAATTCTTCATCAAAAAAATCAAACTATACAACAAAATTGTCTCTATTTAACCTGACAGTTATCTTCTGTGTCTTTTTTTTTTTTCTTGTTCTTTTCTTTCTTTTCAAAGTGGTTTTTTTTTGGCCTTAAAGTGTTTACTGGAGAGAAAGAGAGAGAGAGAAATCAGCTCCCGGGGGGATGGCCACACTGCAATTCCTTCTTCATTCTCCTCCAGGGACCTTGGGCACGCACGCACACATGCCCAACATGATTTTCAAACCACCGGGTCCGGGACTTGAACTGTGGTTGGCCATGTGGGAGTCCAGTGACATAACTGCTATACCATTTGCTGGCTTTTTTCTTTTTTTAAAAAAAGAATTAATTATTTCTTTAATTCCATTTATTATCATTGTTATTATAATTAATTTGACCAGAGAGAGACAGAGAGAGAGAGAGGGAAAGTGAGAAAGCAAGCTGCCAGGTCCAGGATTCGGACCATGGTTGGCCAGGTGGGAGTCCAGCGCCCTTAACCACCACGCTAACTGAGGCCCCTCACATATCTTTCTTTTTCTTTCCTCCTCTGGTCCTCTGTCTGTATCTCCATCTTCCTCCCTCTCTCTCTGTCTCTCTGTCTCTACTTTTCTGTTTCTCTGCATCTCTCTCTGTTTCTGCTTTTCTTGATATCTCTGTCTCTGCCTCCTCTGTCTCTCCCTCTTTCTTTCTTTTTTTTTTTTTTTTTGTGGTGCTTTTTGTCTTGGGCACCTTCCACTTGCCAGAAAGACAGAGAGAGACAGAGAGACAGAAAGTGAGAAACCACCCCGCAAGGGGGATAGTCACTCCGCAATCCCTTCTCCTCCATTCTCCTCTCGGGATCTTGGGCACGCATGCACACGTGCCCGGTGTGAGTTAAGCCACCGGGTCTGGGACTTGAACTGTGGTTGACTACATGGGAGTCCAGTGACATAGCCATTACGCTAACTGCTGGTCCCTGTCTCTCCCTCTTCCTATGCCTGTCTCTCTCCACCTCTCTCCCACTGTATCTCTATTTATCTCTGTCTTTCTCCCTGTGTGTGTCTCTCTCTGTCTCTATGTCTCTGTCTCTCTCTCCCTCCCTCCTTGCCTAGTGCCAGAACCACATAGAGGACAGCGTAGCCGGTTCAAATCCCGACTCCCGCTCACTGCGTCCAGCGCTTTGGGAACGTGGGTCGTGGCCTCCGGGCCCCCCGCGGTCCGCTCACCTGAGCAGCGGAGCTAAGAATAGCTGGGACTTCACCCAGAGGAGGCCATGCGTGGAAACAGCCCCGGGCGGGGGGAGGTCATAATTAGGTCTGAGAAAGTAGAAGGTGTCACCGTCACCGGGCTGCGTGGAGAAGACGGAGTCCCTCTCCTGCTCGAACCTCTCCACCGACCACGGGCCATCGCCTCTGCCCCGCCAGCCCGGGAGGACAGGGACGCGCTGCCCACTGACGTGTGGGTGCGTGTGCACAGGTACGTGACTGCGTGTCCCTGCGTGATGTGCGTGTCGGGGCTGCTGGGGTGGACACGGACGCCTCCCTGGGAGAAGCGCTCTCGGGCTGAGCCTCTAGGGGTGACCCGGAGGAGATCGTAGCTGGGAAGGGAGGGTATGTTTTAGGGCAGGTGCCGGGGAGGGCAGCATGGACACCATCTTGGGGGACACCGATACCCCGTTTGGGGACGTAAAAGCCAGGCACGGCTTGGCTGAATGGAAGATGAAGAGTGGGCACCCTGGGGCCAACCGTGGAGCAAATAGGCTGCAAGTTCTAATGTCCCGGGTTCAAATCCCAGTCCCACCGCTGCGTGATCGGGACGAGTGACTCCCATTCTCTTCCTTCCGTTCCCGAGACCCAGAAAGGAGCCTCCCCCAGCACCCACCAGAATGTTTTCTGAGCACCTACTACGCGCCAGTGTTTTGCCACTCCGTTTTCAGATGAGTAAACTGAGTCTGTCGTCCAAGGAGAAGCCGGGACTCCGGCCCAGGTCTGGCCCAGAAGAGTTACGTCCTCAGCTGAGGTGGCACGCGCGGCAGCTATAATAAGCCGGCGATATATTTAGTGCTTCCTGCGTGCAGGGCCTCGTCCAAGCATCGTGTGCACCCTCGCAGAGCAGGTCACCTGGCAGTGTGGGTGTTAATGACGCCATAGTTTTCCTCTTCGTCTTTTGAAAAAGAATTATTTTTTTTATTTCATTGTATTCATTGTCCTTATTTAGTTTTTTAATATTTTGAAGTTGGCCAGAAAGAAAGAGAGCAAAGCTTCCGGGTCCAGGACTCGAACCGCAGTCGACCCTGTGGGAGCCCAGCCGTCTTAACCGCCACGCCACCTGCCAGCCTCTCCTTCTTTGTTTAACTTGCCAAAAGGTATTTGTGCTCACCAGAGAGAGTCAGAGAGAGGGAGACAACACCCCAGTGGGTGTAACCCTGCCGCTATCCCTGCTCCCCCATTTCTCCATCCCGTCGGGATTTTGAGCATGCACACACACACATGCCTGGTGTGTTTTTTAAGCATCTGCAGCTGGGATTCGAACCCGGGATGGCCATGTGGAATTTGGCTCCCTTAAGTACTCGGCTATGGGGCTGCCCCTAATGTCATTGCTTTGTGAAATATTTTTTTTTCTGGGGCCAGCAGGTGGTATGGTAATGAAGGCACTGGACTCCCACAGAGCTGACCGCGGTTCGAGTCCCGGACCTGGCAGCTTGCTTTCTCCCTTTCCTTCTTTCTCTCTGTCTCTGATCAACTTCAAAAAAATTAAACAAAATCATGACAATGAATACAATTAAGTAAAATATTTCTTTGAAACATATTTTTTTTCTTTCTTCTGTGAGTGATACAGACAGACGGAGAGGCAGAGAGAGAGAGAGAGAGAGAGACAGGCGCCCTTGACAGGGTCCCGACACTGAGCTCTCCCCCAGCCTCAGCCAGGTCTAGATCAGGGACACTCATTGCCCGGCCAGTTCAGGGATGTCTCCGGGCATGAACCCAGAACTTTCCCATGAGGGTCGGCCTTGCAGAGCGTCAGGTGATTGCTGGGCCTCCGCCTGCATCTAACAGCATCATTTTATCGATGAGAAGAGAGATGGGGTTTTATTAGAGTTATTTATTTACTCCATTCCATGTATTATTATTATTATTATTTAATTTGATCAGAGAAAGACAGAGAGAGAGAAAGGGAAAGCAAGAAAGCAAGCCGCCAGGTCCGGGACTCAAACTATGGCCAGCCGTGTGGGAATCCAGTGTCTTTAAACCACTTGCCACCTGCTGGCTGCAAGAAAAGAGGTTTTTCATTTTTTTTCTCAAGATTATTTGTTTAATTTTGTTTGTCATTATTATTATTTTTTAAATTTTGCTATAGGTCATATTCACCTAGAGAGAGACAGAGAGAGAGCGAGAGAGAAAGAGAGGGAAAGTGAGAGAGCACGCTGCCTGGTCTGGGACTCGAACCGTGGTCGGCCATGTGGGAGTCCAGCATCTTAACTACCTCGCCACCTGCCGGCCCTCGGGAGAGGGGCTTTGCGGTCTGGCCATGTGTTGAGGTGCACAGTTACTGAGCAGCTGCTGTCACCCTGCACGTGATCAGCTCCGGGACACTCTGCCTCAGGTCCTGGACACCAGCCGTGTCTCCCAGTGACCCACACTATGGACTGCGGGTGGTGAACGGAACAAAATCCGGAAATTCCCATGGGGTGCCCCAAATCTCAGGTGTGGTCCCGTGCAGGGAACTAGAGCCTGACACCTACCTAACCCTAAGCCTCTTCAAACCCAGATCCCAGCCGGAGTGGCGACCCTCCTGTGCCCACGGCGTGCACTGCCTTAACAGGTAGTGAGCTCCCCATCACCGGGAGGACCCAAGCAGGACCGCCATGCAGGAGAGCCGGTACTCAGGTAGGAGAGCTCTCACAGAAAAACAAGGCGTGGGCCTCCCACCCCCCACCCAGCAGACGAGGGAGATTCCGGCCATTTCTAGGAGAGAGGGTAAACTTTGAAGAGGGCCCTCGGTGCGGGCAGCTGCCAGGTGGGGGGTGAGTTCCGACCGGCCTCCCTGGCACGGAGCCTGGCAGGAGAGGGAAGCCAGGGCCCTCCCTTCTCTGACTCAACACCCTCTTGACAAAATCAGCTCCCACTGGGACAGCTGTGAGTCCTCAGCGCCGGAGGGGGAGTGGACCGGGAGCTCAGAACCACAGAAAGCCGGCATGGTGGACCCTCAGAGCCAGGGTGAAGGTGGGGGGTGGAGGCCCACCGTGGGGCATCAGGGCAGGCCTTTGGGGGGCCCAGGTGTTAAGGGAGTGAGGCCTGGTGGGGGGGTGTCCCACACTGGAGAAAGAACGGAGACACAGTGTCCTGTGTCCAGGGCAGGGGCTCAGGTTCGAGATAGAGCCTGAGGGTCCCAAGCTGCAGGGTGGGGGCCGGGGGCCAGAACGGAAGGGAAAGGGAGGGCCCAGCGGTGGTCTCGGCTCCCGGCCCCGGGCCTGTCCCTCCAG